TGGAGGATGAACTGGTGTGAGGGGAGGGGCAGAGGCTGTAAGGCACAGGGGCAGAGCGGCTCAGAGCACCCTGAGCTCCCGTCCTGAAGGACAACACCAAGATTTCTGGCAAAGGAAAGCCTTTTCGCCTGAAGTCTTTTAGTGAAAAGCCCCAGGGCAGGCCAGGTAGAGGTATCTGACAACAATCTCAAATGACAACTCCAGCCATCCTATGTCTGCATGCCTAACATCCATTTATTTCATAGGACTGATGCAGATGGTTAAATTTCGTTGTTTATCAAGTGACCACATTGGCTAAACATTGAGCTATATGTTCACATGCACAGATTTAGTCCCTGTCATAAGAGTGATGCGACATCTAAGATTTTGTAGCTTTCCCTGTGATTTCTAGTATCGTATTCCTGTATGTTTTACACCATTAGGGAAATTCCCATATCTTACATTTGCTACTTGGCTACAGTAACTTCATGTTTCTCTCTCTTGGTTCCTGCAACAAAAGCTGTAGGCTCACACAGGCATAATTAACAAGAATATACATGTATATACTGGGCCACGTAAATCCTGATCAAGGGTATGGATAGGAACATACACATGCATAAATAGGGTCAACTTCTGCCTCCCTTATTCATTAAGAATTCCAACTGGAAGTACTTAACAGAGGGATATGAAGAAAGTGTGCAGGATGTGGGTCTGGAACTTGGAGGTAGAAGAAAATTTCAGTTCTGAGGGTCAAGTGAGTTTGTGATGCCTTTTGTATAATAGCAGCGGCTTAAGTCAAAATTTTCAGGAATGATTTTCAATTCTAAGTGCTTTAAAATGAGACTGAAGCCTGATCTTTTTAAAGGGGCATGATAATTTCTCAAATCCAGACCGCTTGCTTTGGTCAAGTAGAATACAGAACAATGGATACTAACTTTCATTTTTTGAATCCCCACATTTTGGTTGATAGCTCTTGCCCTTTGGCAACACTATTGACTGTGAAGTATTGGCCAAAATTGTGTACACTCACAACTTAGCCATCTTCCTGCACAGGGTAAACTGACAAGAGGAAATGGAAGAAATTTTACAGTTTTGGGATTTTTTTTTTTTTGGCAACATGAATTAGTTCTTTACCAGGAAAAAACATGAGAAATACATATGCATTTGAGATCCTCATGCCCTGATTAGTTATTAGCTGACAGCAATGAATACTCCTTGTGAGCTCTCATACTTCCATTTCATGCTATGGAGACAGTGGGACAGACTTCTTGTGGAAGCAGAACATCTCCAGGGAGATAGAGGTGAGCTTTAGTGAACTGAGGTCTTGAGATCACAGTGGTGATGTTCACCCCAGCAGGAATGGAGGGGAATAGGCTGGGCAATAAAAGCCGAGTAAGGTCCTCTCAGAGAGATTAGAGAAGGACGAAAATTAAGCAGAAAGCAGTCTCTTGGGTTTGAAGACGGAGAAACAAGAAGAAAGTCCCTGAGGGGAGTCATGGAACAGTCAGAAATGAGAAATGGGAAAGAACTGATTAAAAACAAATAACAAGTGACTGGGTCACTTGAACTCATGGATAAACATACATGTTAGTAAGACCTGAAGTAATTTTCAATGTTACAGAACAGACGGGGTGCTATTTTTGTTCCCAGGGGTTCAAAAATTTACTGTTCAGTAAGATACGCCAATGACATTGCCAAATCTGCCAAAAGAAAATGAGCCAAAAACATTGGAAGAAAGAGAACCACTAAGTTCATCTCCCCTCTACGCAAAGAAATATAGCTCCTTACAGTGTTTAGAGTCACAACATACTCAGTTCAGTGCTTCACACTCAAAGAACAGGATAAGACGGTCCAAGCCCTGTCAGTGTTACAGAAGAAATAGCCAAACCCACTGAACGGTGTTTACCAGTGGTTATAAGGCCTCAACAAAAACAGACGAGTCAGCATATCCTTTGACCTGAATCCACAAAACGAAGTGCGTGACAGAACACTGTCCTATCCGCAGTGGACAACATCTTTCCAAGATGAATGCCCAAGTTTTTTCCCCTTTTAGATGCCGCAAATAGTTTTTGGCAGATGCTTCTACACCCAGATGGCGCCAAGTTAACTACTTTTATTATGCCTTTTGGATGGTAATCTTTCCGCAGACTTCCTTTTGGCATTGCTACTGCACCCAATATATTCCAAAGGAAATGACAAGGCTACTGCAGCACCTGGAAAGGGATAGTTGCTTGTACAGACAAAGTCCTGGGATATTGCCATTAAGAAGCGAAATATGATAAAAGCCAGTCTAGATTTCCAGAGACACTTGGTATCCGCATCTAAAATGCAATAAACATTGGGCTACATCAAAACTAGCTGAACTACTGAGATAACATGCACAAAACCTAGGCCTAAGGGCAGACTGAGAAAAGGTAAATTGGCCTAAGTATGCAATAAATTAATGCAAGCTCCTGAATCTATGTCAAAATGAAATGAATGCTGGGTTATGAATGGCAATAATACATCCTTGGAATGAACTCCTGGAAAATGTAAGCACCTGATATCCTGATATTTGAACATAATACAAGAATATGTTTTCAACTGAGCAGAAGCCCCACCTGAGGCACACCAGTGCTCCCTTCCCCTAACCACTTGCAGCCGCCTCCTGTAATTGCGTTGTAGATTACTGCATTATTGCAGCCTGGTCAGACTGGAGGGGCTGCTACATACTGCTCCTGGTCATTCACTGATGATATAAATCACTCTCTGAAGACTGAGGAGTGTCTCGTTGTAAAAGAAGCATGTGAAAAATGCATAAGAAAGCTCTTCCAATTACTATTCCAGAGTAATTTCAACTTTTGACTGACCACAAACCACTTGTACCCCTGATAAATAAGAAAGACTTGGATCATATGCCAGTGACTTGTCAAGCCCTACTTAGGGCTTAATTAAGTACAATCCACAGACATAATACAGGACTGTGCCTGGCACAGCCTTGGAATTTGGTGGTACCCTGTCTAGATACCTTGCGAATGTGACAGAAGTATGAATATTGCAAATGGCTAAGGAAATTAAAGCTTTATGAGAGAGGTCTGCAAGCCTTAAAACCAATGTCTGATTCATAATTATAACACATCTGACTGGCTACTACCAAAAATGCAGAACCGCAATATTAGAGTGTGGGAAAAGAGACTGCCTTAAGTACATTAGAAACATATCAATAATAACTGGACTCTCATTCCAGAAAGAAGCAGCATTTTGTAGCCAACATGGTTATCCCAGCAAAAATATCCCTATGGTATTTCATTAGTGAGAATTATGAAAAAGCCAAGATGTCCATTTAGTGGTCTGCCACTGGTAGAAGACATCTTGATTATTCTAGCCGTGCCTGAATGTAGTTGTCTGTAAAACACAAGTCTTCTGCTAACAGCTGAGATGTCTGTAAAACACAAGTCTTCTGCTAACAGCTGAGATGTCTACATCGCTCCTATCAGGAGCACCAAGTGCTCAGAAGAGAAGCTCCTGACCCAGGCCTTGCCTACAGGGACTCCACCGTGCTGTGACGTGCCAGGAATATTGAAGCATGCAGTGGAGCAACACCATTACTTCCCATTTATTCAGGATTCTTTTATCTAGGTTATTACCCTTAACACAATGACTTTGAAACCGGAATGCCCTTACTCAAATGTTTTAAGGTGTAAGCTTTCCAGCAAAGCCTTGTACATCTCTATCTGAAATTTTCTCTCCCCCCTTCTCTCTCCTGGAATTCTTGCTTTCAGCAACCACATCCCTAGTTTTCTGATTCCTGGAAAAAAATTCTCCTTTCTCATGGCATCTTGCTCGATCATTAAAGTTGACATGCCAAAAGCTTCCCACCGAGATCTTGTTGGCTTTTTTGGCATCCTACTTCTCCACATCTGGTATTTTATATAGCTGTCCATAATATTATAATTCTTTTGCCAGTAGCTTGTCTTCTTCATGTGCAGGCCATATCTCTCACAAATTTCTCCCGAAATGAGTGCCTTCTCTGCTACATTAGCTCCTCCAGCCCCAAACAACCCAGCTGTCTGAAAAGCTCTACATTTTTCAGAAAACATAAATCATCAAGTCCCAAAATACCTGACAGCCTTATACATAATGAAATTCCTGAAAGTAATGCATTCATAACTTGTGATTGAAGGCCAATGAAAATGACACAAGAAACTTTCTTTTCCTCCGTTCTGTTGCAGCTTAAGTAGCATCCAGAAACTTGCTGATGATTGATGCCAACAGAAACGGCAATTGATGCTGTTTGTCAATGAATTATCAAGATTACTTTATTTTTATGTAAAAGTGAGCTTCTATTTGTAGACATTAAAATGATAATGCACACCGTTCCCTTACAAATGAGGAGAAAAACCCATCAATCTCTATCTCAGATTATATGCCATCCTTTGTTCACATCATAAAAACTTGCCTTGAAAGGCTGATGAAAACTACTAGACAGGGATAAAAATAGAGGAATCCCAGAACAGAGGAACACCATCTATGAGCCATACCAAACTTTTACCATACTCAGCAGTAATACAAAATATCTTAATCTATACAAGGTAACTGGATATGCTCATAACTATCTGCTCTTATTCAAAATAAGTATTAACATTTATTTGCTACTTAATGTTCACACTAATTCTACTAAAATTTTGCTCATAGTTTCATTTCATTTGTGTCTTTCATGTTGGTATTTTCTGATCCTGCAATTTCTGTTCAGCCTGCTAGAGCGAGGTTGAAATAAGGTGTCAATAACTGCTACTCAAACTAGCAAACTACTACTTTTACTCTCATACTATCCTCTCTATAATGGTTATTATATACTATCTCCTATACTACCTCACACTGCCTACCAGAAAAATTTGTTCACAGGTCTACAACTGCCAGAGTGAAAGGTCTATGAACTGTGAGGCCTTACAGCAAAAGTGATTTCTTTTTTTCCGCAGTCAGTGTTGAAAACAAAATCAGGTAAGTTTTCTGACCCAATGCCACAATCAGGAAAACCCCAACACCCCAAATAAAAAACCAGCCCACCAACCAACTGACCAAAACCAAACCCCAACCCTCAAAGCAAGCAGCTAATGAGTCTGAACTGAATTTTCATTAAAAAGTCACAAACGGAAAGAAAAACTTCACCAAATATTTGAAAAAAATCAGTAGAGGGACTGCTCGCAGCCTTCAGGAATTGCTCAGTTGACTAGAGCAGGTCAAACTCTGGAAAGCAAGTCTTTGTCTCCAGGTATGTGTACAGCTACCTGCATTTTAAGGTGCTTAAAGAGTAAAGTGCCCAATTGACACTGAGCTTTTCTGGAAATCAGGAAATAAATCTTTTCTTACCTGTCTCTTGGAAGAGAGAAGAGGATTCTTCGTGGAGGGGGCAGTTGAGCACAGGAACAGATTGTCCAGAGACGCTGCAGCAACCCCACTCCTGCAAAGATACAAATCTTCACCAAACAAGGCCTTGGGCAACCTCACCTGATTGTGAAGGCAGCTCTGCTTTCAGCATGGGGTTGGATCAGACTACCTCCAAACATCCTTTCCAATCCGTGTTTTTCTATAGTTTGATGATTCTAATCACCCACTAAATAAAAAACTAAATATCAGTCAATGGTTTTGACATCTTTCTTCTGTGATAAATAACACTTCTAGTTTCACCATGTTGAGATAGAGACATGACAGCTATTGATGGTTTCTGGTTTAGCTACAGGTGTAAAACATTTCTACATATGCAAAAATACTATACCTGTCATTTTAGCATCTGTGTGCTACTTGGGCATGTTTTACCATTTGAACTATGATAAATGCCAGTGCTCGTTTCACAAAACCTTAAATTAAGCCTTAAGCTGTAAGGATATACTTATCCCTACACTCTCCTGCACATGGCTTCCATGTTTCACATGTGGAGAACTAAAGCACAAAGGAAGCCTGTGGACAGGTTGCCAGCTGAACCTTTCCTCCTGAATCTCTGTCTGGTGCTTTCAACACAAATACATCCTTTGGTCCTTGCTTGGTCTGTGGGCAATTTCTTTCAGTCCATAAGAGTTTCTTCTCATAGCTACAGCAGGTGATAGAAAGTATTCAGTGGCAAAAATACAGTCATTCAACCTGCTCCTTCTACATAGCTTAGTTCATGGAGTTTATAGCATATTTTGAGATGGGACATAACTGTAAGCATTTACTTCAGCGGCTGCTTTATAAAGACTCTTCTGTGAAGGAAGAATGTTGCTTTCATTATACGCCACTGGAAGAGCCAATTATCTCCAAGTTGTTTTATCTGCGGGGGGCAAGGATGAGACTGAAAATGCAGACAGCATCAGGCACATGCTGATCCTGGGGATTGTATTAAAACATCCAAGCTGTGCACCCACTCTGCTTCCAGATGTTCAGCACTGGCACATCCACAGGGAAGAGCTGAGCTGATACGCATCTTATTCCTTCCTGACTCTCCCCATATGGTCTCTAGTCCCAAAGGCACACATCCTGCATCCCATAGACCCTGGTGACCTCCACTTATCTGCAGAATTTGTAGAATTTTCTGGGTTTTGTGGCTAGCCACTTTTTTTGTTTGAGCTTTGCAGTAGTTGCTAATAATCTCAGCATTACCTTTGTCAGCTGTCGCTTGGGCTATGTGCTCTAAAATATTATCCATTTCAATAAGAAGGATACCCCAGGGACACAGATGCCGAACAAGTGTCTAACTGCTTAGCTTTCTACTGGACTACCAAGCCTGCTTTTCGCTAAACTGCTAAAAACATAGCAACAAAACCACTTGCCAGATCCTGATCACTTTCTGTACAAGTCCCTCTTTACCCACCAGAGACTTTTCAGCTCGTCAGGACATGGTGGAAGAAACTGGCCCTTCTGTTCAAACTTCATTACCCCATAGTGGCACATATTTGTGTCCCACCCCTGAGTGTGTCACACTACTGACCATTGGTATACTCATTCAAGTGAAATGCCGCTGCTCAAAACCAGAAAAGTCCCTAACTATACTTACAGCAGTGGAAGCCAAGTTTCCAAATACTTACAAGGCAAAGAGGGGTGTTTCCAAGGACATGAACAGCAGCCATGCTCCCAACTGGTTGTTGTGCTTGAGAAAATCTGTCTTGCATGTGTGAGCAGCTGGGGCAGGGCATGATCTCCCTCTGGGGACATCCTCTTTCTGCATTGTTTTCCCTTTTTAAGAGTACAAGTGTTGGGCAGCCGCCTGCAACTGTTGCTGTGTAGGATGAAATGAAATATAGTGTTATTAATAAAAGAAAAAAGTAACACACAATAGTGAGATTTAGTTAGGTTTCTGAAAAAGGAAGAGTGAAGCAGCAGCTCTTCCCACATCTCTAAGGATTTCTGGGGTGAATATTTAGTTCATACAACTGTAAGGATCTTGGCAACATGTGCCTAATTTCCAGTGGGGAGGCAGAATGGCCAGTGAGAAGGGATGCTGACAGGCAAGGAATTGAGTAGCAGTGTGGTATTTTAACGAAGATGAAAAGTGTTGCTCTACATCTGAGAGCAGCTTTGTTAATGCAGTTGCATTTCTCAGGCCACATAGCTGAACTGTCAGTGGGTTTGGCTGTGTCACCTTGGTATAAGCAAAGCTGGATGAAATGTGAGTAATTTTTAACAGAAAGCATTTCTGTGGGTTTGATTTTCTGTTTTGTGGTTATTGCCTTGGAAGGAACGTTAGTCATTTGGGGTTTTTGCACTTGTGTTACAAAAAATAATAAAAAGAGTGGGGGAAAAGGGTGAGAGATACAAAGGGTTTCAGCAACGGTGACATGTTCACTGGGGCCCACACTCACAGCCTTGCTGACCCACAGTGACACCTGGTTTGAGGAGGGGAAGAGAGGCTGCTTGCCCTCCCCTTCCACCTCCTCCCGGCCAGGAGCAGAGCTGAGTGTGAAGTAAGCTCCCCTCTGTTCACACACATGCCTGACAGAGCCCAGGAGGGCACACACTCACTACCCCTGCCCTGCATCCCCCCCATGCAAACCTGGGTGCAGGATGAGCATGAGACAGTGGAAATCAGCCAGTGCACAGCAGTGAGACAAGCACTAACCAACATCTACACCTTGTTGAAGGAAGGCACCTACATCCATCTGGGCTCCATGTCCATCCATGCCCGTCTTAGAGCTGGTCTGTAGACTGGTCCTGTGCAATCTTTTTCCAGAAGAGTTGTCAACCAGCAGGATGGCGAGATTCATCATTCCTCAGCCCAAACGCAAACATCCCCCTTCCTCCCTTGTAGATGCATCTGCCCCAGGGTTAAGAGCCTGGCAGCTCCCACCACTGGCCACGACAGGAACTCAACTTTGGGCTTGCAAAAGGCTGTCAAGTCCGAGGCTTTTCATAGCCCTAGTATATTGGACCCTGCAAGCTGTTGGGAGGTTCCCAACAAAATTCTGACTTGCTGAGAAATTTCCAACCAAACCCGTGTCAGCTGTGTAGCTGTGAGCTGAGAAAAAGGGGGGAAAAAATAGCATGATCTTATTTGGTTTGTAATTGTAGCTCAGTTACAGTTATCTGCTCTAAAATAGTCTTTTCCTTTGTAAAAATTCTTGAACAATAGAAAGCTGTCTCTATCCCCACCTCAAATGCAGTGTAAGCTTTGTAGCTAACTAGGAATAGGATCTGTAACATGCATTATGCCACTTGCTACATTCCAAAAATAATTTTCCAATAGCTTTGAAACAGAGTGACTGCAGTGCATATAAACAAACAGAAAGCTCTTTAGGGCTGGACCTTTAAAGTTTTACCTCCCAGTTCTCCCTGAAAAAGTAGTATCATCTCTGGCTCTTGTACTAAGGGTAACAGATGCAAAAATGCATATATTTAGCTTTGCAACTGCCCTAAGCCATTAATTTGATTCCCATGTGAGACTTGACTAGCTGATCCCCCAGTTTTAAAAAGTCTGCTGGGCTGTATTTTTCTGACATGTCAAAGGATCACAACAGAATCAGTTTAAAGGGTGCGATGGCTTCATGGCACTCAGACTTGTTTCACGATAAAAACACATAGACTTTGTATGTCCTCAGCAGGGTGGATCTGCTGAGGGAGAGGTGCTTGAAATATCTATGGAGTATAATGAAGTAAAGATGACACTCGTCCATAGCTCAGGTGAAAAAGTTATTATTGATAGTTTAGGCAAAATATTATTATATCGATATTATTGATTAGCTGTAGGTAAAATAAGCTCTGTGCTAAGGGAGGAGCAATCCTGTCTCTCTGTCCAGAGCCAGAGAAAGAGCCACTACAGACTGAAGACCAAGAGCTAGATCTCACTGTACTCTAAGAGAGATTTCCATTCTGCCATGCTGCTTATGCTGCACCACAAGGCTTAGGAAGCTGTCCCAACCAAGCAACTTCACTCTGAGCAACAACAGAGGCAATGTGGTTGTCACAACTCATCCACAATTAGTCACATTTTTTCCTCAGTCCTTACAGTGGAAAGGGACCAAGGAAATCAGTGAAAGGTACAAACAGGCCCATTTCAGTTGCTTTTCCCACTTTTCCTCTCTGCATCTGCTTTTTGATTCCTGGCTTGCAGATACTTTGATAGCAAAGCACAGAAAACACTGCAGCAAGTACTTCACCGGTACTGGCAAAACTCTCAAGGGAGAGGAGAAGAAATAGGTATGAAATTTTTACTCTTTTTGCTCTCTGTGTTTATTTATTTTGGATCCATTGGGCTAGACCGCAACTAAAACTTTATGAACCTAATAAAATTCCCAACATTCTCAGACATGGGTCGTGATGTTTATATATTAGGCAGAATACAAAGGTGTATTTATGAGGAGATTGGAAGTACTTAGAGATGCTTGAGCTCAGGCAAGACATAAAGCACATGTAAGAAGTGTTTTCAAACTTAGCGCAGGTACAATCGATCCAACCAGTGCTCTTTCCACCTGTGAAGGTGAAGACAAATCACATAGCACATCAAAACCAAGCATTTTGGAAGAGCTGTGCAACTCATCATAGAACAGTCTCACCTCCTCACAAGTGGCAGGGTACAGGGCAATTTCATCATTTTTTAATACATGTTATTTATTGCCTAGTTTTGCTACGGCTAAAATATGAGCTCTCCCATTTTGGTAGTGGTGGTAAATATACTGTGCTATATATATATATAAAATATAAATAAACAGCATAAGGTTACAAGAGTGAACATCTCTTTTCCCTTCTGTCCTCATAAAACACACAGTATTCAATAAGCAAGATATACTGTCTGACTCAATTGAAGGGATAATGGGTCTTGGAGACAGATTGAGCTTTGTGTCTTTATAAATAAGAAAAGGCTAGTGGGAATATATGCTGGGATCTATTTTTGCCAGAGAAAAATAAACCGTTCTGTCAATACAGAGATAATCCCACTTCCCCCTATCCCTCTCTTGCCTTTGGCCATCTCCATCCTCCCAGCCTTATCCCCCCCATGAAAAAAAAAGAAAGGTTATGTGTTCATTCTCCTCCTGTCACGCATGATTTTTTTACTGGTTTCGGCATTAACTTTTTTGGATACTTCCTGTCACTGAAAGATCTCTCTCTCCCCACAAGAGGAGCATATGTTTTCAATTTAGATTATGTTCCCAGCAGATGTTGCAGGATGTGAAGGTCTTGCTTTCTCTTTCACTAAAAAGGCACTTGTAACACGTTTTATTGTCTTGAATGGAAAAAAAAAAAAAAAGCTATTGCAATGTTCAGAAATCTGTCAATGTGATTTCATAAACTCTACCTTAAAAAAATCATAACTGGTTAACAGAAAAAAATAAAATACAGGTCTGTGTTGAATATATATCCCTGAAGAGTATTTGTAAGCATTCCTTTAAAGGGTGCTGTGGAAGGAAAGGCTTACTATCTTAAGAACAACCCTCCAACTCTCATGCACAGTCACCCCAAGAAACACTTCTTGTTATTTTCATAATATTTTGCATGAAAATTCCAAATACATATCAGTGCCTTTGGTTCTCCACATGGAGCTCCAAACTATCCTGTGTGCATATGGCATATGTGCTGAAGTTAGACCTGTTAACACAAACCCTTCTGTTCTCAAGATATGACACTGACATCCAACGTGAAGCCTGAGGTCTGGGTTCAAATGTAGCATTCATATACACCACGCGGAGCTTCCTGCTGGTCAGGGTCATGTCACACATGTCCTCCTTGCAGCAGGAGGACCGGCTTGAAGTGGATCGAAACACCCAAAACCTCAGTGCTTTGAACTTACCTAAGAAAGACGGACCAGAGCAAGTGAGGTCCTGCTTCATTAATACTCACCTAAGAGTAAGGCTTGAAAGGAAAAGAATAAGGTAGGCTGCATTAAAACAAACAAGCAAGGAGGACTAATCAGGCACTCAACATACCAGAAAATGGTATCCTACAGTATCCAGTCTCTGAAGATTCTCTTTAAAACCTTCAAGTTTATACACACTAGGAAGTTGCTGTTGGTAGTCTGTAGGATGCTTGCAGTGTCACAGAACCATCTGTTATCATCTGTTTTCACAAATGCCTACTGCTAAAGATATGTATATGTGTGTGTGCACACGTATGTGTATGCATCTGTGTGTGTATACTTTAAATACACTCATATTTACTTATTCCATCCTTTGTGTTGAAACTAGGAACAAAATGAGGTTGTACCCTATGGCAAAATATGTTCAAACATAATGCAGAATCTCCAGAGCTGCCAAAAAATCCCTGCTGTAGAGACAGAATTAAGCCTAACAAAATGGACAGCAAACCACAAGTTTCATACAGAAAGCTTGTTTCCAATACAGTCAGATTTTATCATTCCATTTTTTGTTCTTGTATAATGGAAGCAATTGGTTTCTACTAAGACATAGGTATGTCAGAGCCAGAAGCAATGGTCCATCTAAACCTACATTTGTGACACTAAGCAATAAAGACAGATTGATATCTCAGCATCTATTCCCAACCGCATAAATCCAGCCAGTGTCTATATCTCAGGTTTCCTCATTTTCCATAAATTTGTCTATCTTCCCTTGAACTGATATGCACAGCTTTTGTTACTGACTTTGGAAATGGCTCCATAATTTAAAAACTCTTTGTGTAATAGAAATTCAGCTGGAGCTAAACCTGAGGTTGGTTGTTTCCACCTGGTCTATTTGGTTTCCTGATTACACACACAAGCTTCCAACTTACACCTTTCTGTAAGCAATTGCTAGAGACCAGGATCAGCCATAGGCAGGAGAGAGAAGAAGCAGCCACAGACATGGGGACAGCCATCCATCCTTCTCCAGGTCTGGGGAAGAGCCTGCAGGAGGGCAGCACAGGGATGGGAACAGCAGGAAGGCAGAAAAGTTATCCTGAGAACACAGTGGCTCCTTGTGGGCAGAAGATCTGAATTGAGCATATAAACGTCTCACACTTCCCAGCATGGCTTTAAATTAATAAAACCCATTCTGTAACACTGCCATGGAATGACTGACCGAGATATTTATAGCCCAAAGTATCCAGGAATTCACTCTCTATTACACTGTGAGCATTTATTAAAAATATAAAAATTAAATTAAAATGGCCATATTAGGAAGATTTTATGTCCTTTGTGGACACATATCTTTTATTTTCAAAGTAGCTTTTCTTCCAAGAAGACTGATGAATTCAGAGATGGAAACTTGCTAAAATCATCAGCGATGGTATTGTATAGCTCTTTGCTTGCCGTTAGGTGATATTCTGTAGTTCCTGCATTACCTCGAGAGGCTGAGTTGACTGGAGCGGGTTAAGCCAAAAAAGACAAAAATAGAAATAGAAAATCCACAGAATATTGTAGCAGACATTCAAAATCATAAATCTGTAATCAGCAAAGCAGAGAACCTCTGTTAACATCTTCTTCACTTATAACAACTATTTGTTGAGGCATGCAAATAAAAAGAGTAAATGAGACCGATATAAAAAGTAGCTTTTGCAACCCGAAGAGTTTTGGATTACTTGTATAAATATCCCTATTGTTGAAAGCTGGACTGCTCTCCGGAATCCCTTAAGTTTTTGACATATCTACACCGTGCATTTACATCCCTATGAGCTCCACTGGTCCTGCCTGGGAGAGGCGGCCTTCCAAAGGGACCAGTCATGCATTTTCCATGCCCCAGCCCCTGAATAAAAAGCAGTGCTAATCCCAGAAGCAGGGATCATTGGCTGCCACTTGCAGAACCCCACTGGGTACTGGCCATGCTGTTCCAGGCAGCCAGTGGAAACCTGCACTCAGGATGGGCAGCACACCCTAGAAGTGTTGGAGAGCAGGGTGCTGTCCTCCAGCACAGAGTGCTGCCATGGAGACTCAGCCATGCAGGCCTTGTCTTGTCTTTCTAGGAAGCAGCAAAGCACCTGAAAGGGGTACCAGGATTTACTTCGGCCACAGTTTTTTTTAGCACAGTTTTGCGCCATGCTGATAACTGGATCAATAAAATAAACACACCTATGTCAGAATCTTCACGTTCTGCTTTCTTTTGAATTGAATTGAATTTCTTTTCTGAGAAACTCAACTCAAAAAACTTACTATATGCATTGCCTCCTATGAAAAACCATCCAGGTTTGGTCTCAGTGTAGATTGCTTCTTTATACTGCCCACAAGATGTGGACAGTATAAGGATAACAAGATGTTATCACCTTGATTTATTTATTTTTTTATACTATTACTACCTTCATTTCTAAGCTGGTGCATCTTCCAGTTACTCCTGGGCAGGTCCTTCACTCTTGCCTTAGGGTACAAGATGTCACCTCTTTCCTGAGGGACTATCAATGAGCATATAGGAACTATGAAATCATTAACCTGTAGGTGAAACTCTTCTTACAAGTGTGTGACCAAGTAAGCTGGTAAACTCATGTTCAGGGCTCTCAAAAGATAAATATGTATTTCTGTGTGACATATACTTTACAAATACCCAGCATGACTGAAAAAGCTAACTTTCTAGATGCTTCCATACAAACCCAGGTTTTCAGTTTGCTGCAACAGATACGTTCACCCTGAGAGTTACAGAGCACCTAAAACAACCACAGTCTTGGCAGAAAAATCCTTGTTGATACTTATATCACTGTAAAATCCACTCATGCTGAGTGAATTAATTACTTACTAAGCTGACAGTTTTTAAGACGGCGCAAAATAAAACCAACCAGAAGAGCAGAACATAAAAATCCAAATATAATCACAATGTCTGTTGAAATGTTAAAGTAAGGATGGAATAACGTTTGCAGTGCTGAACCTCGGCCCTTGGATGAGTTTCTTAGTATCAGATTTCAAAACACATTAACGCCTACAGACCCATACAGGTTTCTTGCAATGCTTTTCAACATGCATATCAGGCAGTCCCAATAGTCTAAAACCACTCAGACCAACTCTGGAAACTATTTAGCACCTGAATCAAATTTATTTCCCCATAAACCTCTCAGTTCCTTAATCATAATTGGTAAAACTGTAGTTCTCTGCCCCTCAGGAATTATTCAATAAATTCTACATAAGACTTCTGAAGTCCTTTAGGTATGATGGCAACGGGAGAGCCCAGAAGTGTCCTGGACAGATCCAAGTGGAATGAAGAATTAAGTAAAGGAGATTGACAATGACAAAATGAGCTTTGCTTTGCTTCCTGGAGATAGATAGACAGACAGGCAGACAGACAGTGTGTAAACACTCCTCTAAAAGCCTCAAATTACAATCTGCAGTCTGTAAAACCCAGCTAGCACCATTTTCAGTGAAACAAACCCCAAATTAATCCTAATTCATGACACTGAATTTTTCCTTAGTGCCACTTACAAGATATCAAATTATTTCCATTATTCACTGGAACAAATAAATAGCAAAATGCAGAAATTCATACCAGAAGTTGTATTTATGGAAATACTGTTTAATTTTTGGAGAAAACACTCTGTACCAGGTCATCAGTTCAAGACAGATGGCCTCATAAACCTCTCAGCAACGTATAAAACCTAAGGTTATATTTGATGGGTTCCAGGAGCTGCATTTCACACAGATGACTGAGTGCTGCAGCAGACAAGCAGAGGCCATTTACTGCCTAGTAATGGGATGTGAGCTGAATACACCCATCACCCGCACTAGATGCAGGATGAGACCAAAACACAAGGTGACCAAGAGCTGCTGTCCCCACTGCTGTGCCACACTATTGCATGCTGCCAATGGTGAGCTGCAGATTTGTGAACTCCTACACCACTTAAATTGTTTTCTGCCATTTTCTCACCTACAAGGACTGAGTGATGATGCTGAAAGGAAAGCCCAGGAAAGTAGCATGCTTTACAGCATAGCAGAGACTGCATTTATATACCTGGCTCTTCAAACATTGCTAGGCATCCCTTTTGTATTATTAAGATGCTTAGTGAGAGCATCAAATTTCACTCATTTATTGGCATTTTACAAGGGAACCCTGTTTACTTAAGTTTACACATCTGAAATATTTACTCATATCTAAGAGACAGACAAGTTACACAGTGTTAGAAGTTTATCAATATTTTCCAGCTTCATACTCTTTTTCACAAATCAGTAAACAATCTATCACCCTGAGTGCCTACACACATAAAGGTGTAGCAGAAGGCATCATATAAATAAATATAGCTACCATATGGTACATCGATCTTGCCACTGCAAAGCAGACACAAGCATTTTGTTGTCTGTCTGATCTGGAAAGCTCTCGATTATTTAACAGTACCTGATGTGCACTGGTCTTTCACATGAAAAATAATCTCATATTAAGAGACATCACTTTAAATTTTAGAAAAGAGAAAAAACATATTTTGAAGAGAGAAGGAGACAAATCTTTTCACACGTGAACAAAATACTGCAAACAGGGCTACAGGGGATATGCTGTAACTTGGGACTGGGAAGTATGTGAGGGTTTTGCTTGTATTTCACCCACTTAAGTGATTCTACTGTTTTAATGGAATGAAATTGTGTAGATGGAGCTTGCAATTTGTTTACTTGTTGGTTTATAAATTTCCTGGTGTTGCTACAGATCAGGTGCCACTGGAAAGCATTAGTGATGTTACTCTTTGTTCTTTAAATAAACATAAAACTAGTGTGTACACCTGACCAATTGATACCACTCAACCCCTTTTTTTAATATATACTACTTGAATCCAACAATATTTTTAACAATTTCTATGTTTTGCTATGGAATAATTCTTTAAAGCAACTTCTTTGTTGAAAATGTCTCTCAGCAAGCAGTTACAGCCTCACCAACACGTAGTTCTGGGTAGGCCTGGTGGCACTGCCCCGTTACTGAATTCATTCAATTCTTCTTTGTATTCCTTGCCTTTAGATGCTTACAACTGCCTGGGCTGAAATTTCTCATCTTACAAATCTGCCTGAGGATTAATTATTCAAAAAATGCCTGGAAAACTTCTAAAACCTCTGGAAAAGTACAGCTTGCAGATACTGAGGGATGCCCTGCCCCAGGATCGCCTTGTGCTTGCCTGCACTGGGCACAGCTGGCAAGCAACAAGACCATGCACATGCACTGGTCTCCAGGAGCCTGGTCTCCTCTGCCCTTCTGGTGCTTCTTGCTGGGCTTGTGTGCTTAGAGGGTAGAATACAGCAAACTTCAAAGCAGAGGGGCACAGCTGGAAGGGGGAAGTTCAAGAGAAGATATTTCTGGACAAGTACACTCAACACTGCCAGATGCACACACTTCTATTTGCTGATTTTTTAAGGACTCTTGGCTCTGAGACATCTTTCTTCTGTTTTAATCAGTAGATACTTTATCAGATATAATTATGATCCAAAACCCCTATGTGCCTGCTAATATAGTTTGAAAAGGAACTTGAGTATCTGCAATGTGTGTGTGTGGGGGGGTTAGTTTACTCTGCTTTCAGTGATTACCAGGTTATTTAATATTAGCCCATGATTCCACTAATAATACTTGTAAATATCCCTCCCCATCCTTGATTTGCTTTGCCTTGCCTAGCTCTAGCTCATTATGGATTTTAAATCTCATTTTTTCCTGCTAGCAGTAACTTAGAGAATGTTCTTGTGTAGCTGCCACCTCTGTTTTCCATTTCCAGAGTTCATTTGTTAATCTCAGATATTTTTGAGCAGTCCCTTGTGAAGCCACACTGGCTTTTTAACTTGTTCTTTGCATATCTTTTTTTCAGAGGAATTTTAATCTGTTGCAATCTAAATTGAGGTTTCTTATTAGAATTCTCCAGCTTGCTTGCACACCCTTGGATCTGAGGTACTTCTCATTGCATCGAGCCCACTAAGTCCTTAATTTAACTAAGTAGTTAAGGA